TGCCAGCAGGCAGGCTGGGAGGAGGGCCGGACTGCTCAGGGTTAGGTTGGGCATCGGACAGCAGGTGGTGAGCAATTGCATTGTGCATCACTTGTTTCGTACACATTATTACTAGTAGTACTATTATTATTATTATTGTTATTGTTATTGTTATTGTTATTATTATTATTGTTATTATCTTCTTGTTTTTATCTCAACTCACAGGCTTCGCTTTCCCATTTCTCTCTCCCATCCCAGAGAAGGAGGGGGGGAGGTGAGCGAGCAAACACAAACCTGGAAGGATATGGAATGGGATTTATTTTCATGGCTGCCTGGTGGACCATGGGTTAAAAGAGTGTTATTTTTATTGTGATGTGGTGTAAAGATGTTATTGTTTGTACCTTGTATGATACCTTGTCTTACATTATTAATACACCGGGTGATAAATAGTACCTTGGTAATAACTTCATTAAAAAAAAAGAAGGGAATATGTCAATTATGATGCTTAAGAATTGGACCCTCCAAGAACAAACTGATGAAATCCAATTATTAATACCAGAAGAGACACGAATTGGGGATATTAAAAAGAAGATAAGGGATTGTGAGGAATGTTTTAACAATTCCAATTCGTGTCCATAAATTCGTGTCCATAAAGAACAATTCTGTTTGAATCCTGTCTGCCTCTGGGCCCTGCACTGGCAATTTAGTTCTTGAACCACAGATGCAGTGTGTCCCAGTCTCCCCCTCATTCTAGTCAATTTATCACGTCTTCAGAAAACACTCCTTAAATTTATGAACCTGTTTGCTTTTGTTATTCCGGACTTCTGTTTCTAACAGTTACAGCCTTTTTTCCTGTCTTCTTCGAGATTAACTTAACACTGCTATAGATGTGTCTGTGAATGGCTGGGGAAGAATGTTTTAATTACTCGTGAAGCGTCAAATAAGAAAGCTGTTTGTATTTGATGTCTGGGAGTTTCAGAACAACTGATAACAACTGGTGACTGTTATGGGATACTATGAGGATCCTTGGTATCTGGCCAGGGGGGCCAAGAGATTAAGAGGAAGAAAAAAGAAGCTGAAGGACGGTTGGGAGACAAGACCTGCAGAAAGTGTTCCATAAACTTGGAATGGTGCGAAGTGAGTACAAAGGGGGAGAGGAAGACTACGAGCCTTCAGCATGAAAGACCCCTAGATACCCCCAGAGGAGACTGATGCGCATGCTCCAGTAGGAGGGACTGGACCCCGGAAGCTAATTATAATAATCTATTTTGTTAGAAGTAGTAATGAATATGTATTAGTCTAGGAGCATAAAAATCAGCTGCTTGATGTAACTGGTGTGTGCGTCCTGGTGGAGCGGAGACTCCCGGTGCACCCAGCGCTGTTTGCTTACCTCTATTCCTTTATATTCTTTTAATAAATCCTATTTTTTTATTTAATCCTAATTTGAATCCTGAGCCATTTATAACATTGTGAACACAGAAGAGTGGCCATTAAATTGGGGGAGAAAATATAGCACAAAGAGGCTGGAGATGAGAATGGTTTAATGAAAGGGCAGGGGAATGGGGAGAAAAAGAAACAAAAGAAACAATAAGGCTGCGGGGAAGCACAGAGAGAAGGAAAAAGAAATATTCTCTACTTCCCATCAACGAGCGATGTTCAGCCATGTCCTGGGAAGCAGGGCATCAAAACATGCAGTGGTTGTTCAGGAGGAACAGCCCCCTTCCCCACGGCAACCCCCTGTTTATTGCTGAGTGTGGCATCAGGTGCTATGGAATGTCCCTTTGGTTGGGTTAGGTCAGCTGCCCTATCGATGTCCCCTACCCATCACCGCCCACCCCCATTGATTTCCTTTGATGAAGTGGCCAACCATCTGGTTGCCCAGGGGAAGCCAGCTGATGGCACCTCTTTGGATTTCAGCACAGCTTCAAGACAGCTTCTCACTGTCTCCTTCTGGACCAATTAGGCAGCACACAGCTAGAGCAATGCATAATGCGATGGGTGAACAAGGGGCTGACGGGTCGCGCTCCAAGGGTTATTGTAAATGGGGTCGCATCAGGGTGGCGGCCAGTCATAGGGGCTTCCGCAGGCCTCCATTTTAGGGCCTGTTCTCTTCGGTGTTGTCCCGACTGACTCGCATGTAGGACTTGAGGGCAGATGGAGTCCATTTATGCATGATGCTAAACAGGAAGGAGTGGCTGACTCCATCGAGGGGAGGAAGGCTTTGCAGAGAGATCTCGACAAAGCAGAGAGCTGGGCAATCCCCAGCAATATGAGGTTTAGCAAGAGCCAGTGAGGGATTCCACGCCTGGCAAGGGGCAACCCTGGCTGTATGGACAGCACAGCCCTGCAGACAGGGATCTGGGGGTTTTGGTCGATGGCAAGTTGAATGTGATTCAAGCACGGGCCCTGGCAGCCAGGAGGGGCAACAGCATCCTGGGGTGCCTCCAGCACGGCATCGCCAGCCGCTCAGGGGCAGGGATTGCTGTGCTCTGCTCTGCGCTCTTGCAGCATCACCTCAAGTCCTGGGTGCACTTTTGGGCAGCACACTAACACAAGGACATCAGGTTATGGGAGAGTGTCCAAAGGAGGGCTTCGAAGTGGTGGAGGATCTGGAGAGTAAGACGGATGAGGAGCACATGAGGTGCGCGTGTTTGTTCAGCCTGCATGAGACTGAGGGGAGGCCTCATGGCGGCCGGCAGCTTCCTCACGAGGGCAGCAGAGGGGCCGGCGCTGAGCTCTGCTCTCTGGGGCCACGGACAAAACTCGAGGGAATGGCAAGGAGATGGGCCACTGGAGGCTCTGGCTGCAGGTGAGGAAAAGATTGGACACCACCACGGGGCTTGGCCACTGAAACAGGCCTCCCAGGGAAGTGGTCATGGCAGCCAAGCTGCTGGGGTTCACCAAATGTCTGGCAAGTGCTTTCAGACACATGCTTTGGTTTTTGGGGGTCACCCAGAGCGCTGGGCTCTCAGGTCACCCAGCGGTGGGCTGTGAGGTCACCCAGCAATGGGCTGTGACCTCACGGCCCTCGCTGCTTATCTTGGGGCGCCGTCAGAGCCTGGCCCAGCCTGGCTCGTGCCTGGACTCTGGCTGAGCGTTTGTGCGAGGCTTGGAGTGCCGAGCAAGGATCTCTTGGGAGATTTGTTGGAGCTGTGCTGTGGGGCCGTTGGCAGCTGCTCTCGGTGCCCGTCCCCGCAGCCAGTGCCTGCGTTTCCCCGGCCCTGCCTGGCTCAGGCAGCCGGGGCTGTGGAAGGAGTGCTCGCAGCAGTGCAGGTGAGCTGTGAGGCGACACGTGCCCCGGGGCTGGGCTTGGGGTTTTGTCCTGCTGAGGGGCCGGGGCACTGCCGCTGCCTGCCCTGGCTCAGCCACTGACCCTGGCCTCTCTCCTTCTTGCAGCGCACAGCAGCTGTGGCAGCGGTGCCAGCCAGGGGAAGCAGCTCCCCATCTGCAGCTCTCCCCAGCCCGCTGCAGCGAGCCGACACCATGGGCGGTGAGGCCCAGGACATCACCTGCCCTGTGTGCCAGGGGGCCCCCAAGGAGCCCAGCTACATCCTCCCCTGCCTGCACCAGTTCTGCTTCGGGTGCGTCATGCGCTGGGTCCAGAGAAGCAGCACCTGCCCCCTCTGCAGGCAGCGCATCACCTCCATCCGCTACTCCATCTGGGCGGAAGACGACTTCCTGGAGGTGCAGGTGGCCCCCGATGCAGAGGCGCAAGACGACAGCCCCCAGGACGAGCAGGGGGCTGCAGAGCCCATGCCCCAGCCTGCCGTCAGAGGCCTCCCGCCCGAGGAATGGGCAGCCCTCTTCAGGGAACACCTCGAAGTCCTGGGTCCGCTGCGCTCCTGGGTGCGCCAGCAAGCCAGGGAGCTCTTCGATGCTGCCTGGTGGGACCAGGACATGCTGGAGGCCACCGTCGTCGCTTGGCTGTGCCGCTGTGGGCTGGATGAGCACGCCTTGGTGCGGGAGCTGCGGCCCTTGCTGCAGGGCCACACGGTGAGCATTGTGCAGCGGCTCATCTCCATCATGGGGGAGATATGCAGCGAGGAGTACCTCGAGGAGCTGGGCTTCCTGGAACCGCGTCCTGCCAGCCAGCTCTACATGGACAACGGCCCTGAGGTGGACCTCGACGGCTCCCAAGACACCGGGGAGCCAAACAACGAGGGCTCCGAAGACACCGGGGAGCCAGACTTCGAGGGCTCCGAAGACACCTGGGAGCCAGAGCTCGAGGGCTCCCAAGACACCTGGGAGCCAGAAGACAGCCTGGAGGCCACCCCCAGCCCTGCTGCCTCCCCCCGGGACACTCCTGTCACCAGCCTGCTCTCCTCCAGCAGCGCGGAGGATTCTGACATCGAGGAGCTGCCCAGCGCCTCCAGTGCCGCCCTGCCTGCGGGTCCTGGCCAGCCGCCCGCTGCACCCATCCCTGAGGAGCAGGAGGAGCTCTTCTCAGAGCCTGAAGAGGAGGAAGCAGAACACGCTGCAGTGCCGGGCTGCAGCCACGGGCCCTCTCCTCCTGGCCAGGGCAGGGACAGCTCACCTGGGGGGCCCCGGCGCCCCCCGAAGAGGAGGGCCGACAGCAACCCGGACTCTCCCCAGCCCTGCAAGAGGCCCCCGCGCCTTTAGCAGGGCACATCTGGTTGTCATCAAAATAAAGAGTCGTGACCCTGCCACAGACAGTGTCTTGGGCTTCTTCGTCGAATCCCAGAATCCTACAGTCACAGAAATGTCGAGTGGCTCAGGTTGGAAGGGGCCTTAAAGACCACCTAGTTCCACTCCCCCTGCCATGGCCAGGGATGCAACTCACTGGCCTCACCCAACCTGGTGATGGGCAATGTCTGCCCACTCGCTCAGGACCCGCAGATCCATGTCCTCAGGTCCCCTGGACTTGCGCATCACCATGTTCCTTCTTCCCCACCCTCCCCCAGAGCCTGCAGGGCGCGGAGCAGCAGCGCCGACCCTCCCAACATGGCCGCCCTGCCGCGCCTTCCTCCCTCCCTCCCTCCCTCCCTCCCGTTGGGCGCCGCGCGGCGGCCGCCATTGGCCCCGTGCTGCCGGCGGGCGGGCGGGGCGGGCGGTTCAAACGGCAACGGCCGCGCCGGGCGCTGTGGCGGAGCGGTGAGGCGGGGGCCGGGCCGGGCCCGGCGGGGGTGGGGGGGGCCGGGCAGCAGCGCCCAGGCGCTGAGCAGGGGTCCCGGTGGGTCCCGGTGGGTCCCGGTGGGTCTCGGTGCTGCAAGCGGCCCCTCCGCGCCTCGGGCCGTGCTCTGAGGGCAGCGCAGCCACGGGTGGCGCTTTGTCGTTGCAGGTGCTGGGCAGAAGGGCAGGCGCCTGCTGGCCTCAGGATGTCTGTCAGCAGCGATGAGGAGATTCTGAAGTACTACGAGTTGCGCGAAACGATTGGGACGGGTAGGAGTGATCTCTGAACAAAGACACCTGCCTGCTGTCTGCCTGAGTACAGAGTGACTTCAGGCCCGTGAATTTTGGAGCACAATTCTGAAGCTAGTTGGCAGCCCTTAACTCAAATCGCCTCTTCCTCTGATGAAGGCATTGCACACAAGTCGTGCTGCGTACTCTGCTCTACAAGCGGGATTAAAAGGATGAACGCGTGTTATCATGCTGAGCTTTAAATGTCTGTGTGTTCACTTTTAGGTGGGTTTGCGAAGGTAAAGCTTGGACGACATCTTCTTACCGGTGAAAAAGTTGCAATAAAAATCATGGACAAGCTTGCGCTAGGGGTAAGTCAAAAACATGTAACATTTGATAGCATCGTCTGTTTCTTGTGCAGTTCTCAAGAGCAAAGGGGTGCGGTACATAAAGATGCTGCCTACTAGCCCTGCTGCCTTTTAAAGGATGCTGCAGAGTTCAAGGAATGTTAACAAAGCACCGGAAACGTTGTGCCTTCTTGTGAAGTGGGCAGCATTGACTCGCTGTAAAATGGAGGAAGTTGAAAATTGTTACAATAATTCAAACAAAATGCTGATGAAAACACTAGATATTTTATGTCTTCAGGTTTTGCTGATCAGAATTATATGGGGGGAATGGAAGAGCTGTAGATGAGTTGATGTTGAATCGTATGCTGTCAGAAACGTGCTGTGAAATTTTGACTTCTGCAATAGTTTGCAGTTTACTGTTGTAAGTAGTCACCAAATTCATAGCTTATGTTCATGGTCTCTTAGGATGACTTGCCTCGTGTTAAAACAGAAATTGATGCCATGAAGAATTTAAGTCACCAACATATTTGCCAGTTGTATCACGTAATAGAGACATCCAAGAAAATATTCATGGTCTTAGAGGTAAGAAATGGTGTTTCTGCCACGCTTGAGGTTACAGTACACGATCTGTCCGCTTTAGCAGTATGCGATAATATAACAGCAAAGTTGAAATGATGCATTTCTTAAGAGGTTATCTAAGTGATGAGTTTGTTCAAGATTCATTACTTTAAACATTAAGCTGAAAATACATATTCTGTCTTCTCGTAAAAGCCACTCTTTGGTGTTCACAAAAAGTGAAATAAGTTTAATTCCTACCTTGCATTTCAATTATTTTAAAATAGCACCAGCAAGGTCTGTGAGACACCAGAACTCCCAAGTGATTGTCGTCTCCTGGGTGATTTGCACCACCCATGACAAGAGTGTAATGTCTTGGATACAAAATGTGAGGCAAGGGTCAGACTTCTTGGCTTGTGTGGTTTGCTGCAGTGGTGACCCATGCCAAACTTTTGGGTACTGATAAAGCAAAGGGAATATGCAGAGAGTCCTATAGCTGCTGTCCAGTGCTTTCTGTGCTCTCGTTGGTACTTACACTTCCTGGTTATGCTCTAAACATATTCTCTTTTGCGCTTTACCTTCTTATTGCAGTATTGTCCTGGAGGAGAGCTGTTTGATTACATTATTTCCAAGGACCGTCTTTCAGAAGAAGAAGCTCGTGTATTTTTTCGGCAGATTGTTTCAGCAATTGCTTATGTTCACAGTAAGGGATATGCCCACAGGGACCTCAAACCAGTAAGCCTGAATAGTAGTCACATTTCTGTAAATAACAAATGATCTGATGCCTTCTGGAAATGTATTGTTTCTGCTTGCTACTGTGTGCCTCAGCTGAGCTGGATGTGGCTGACCCTGAGAAGGGATTTTCCTCTGAAATAGAACATAGTACTGAGAGTACTGCATTCAGCTCTGAGGCCTCCAGCACAAGGACATGGAAGTATTAGAACAAGTCCAGAGGAGGCCACAGAGATGATGAAGGGCTGGAGCACCTCTCCTATGAAGTCAGGCTGAGGGAATTGGGGTTGTTCAGCCTGGCGAAGAGAAGGCTCCAGGGAGACCTTATAACAACTTTCCAATACCTAAAGGGGGCCAAAGGAAGGCTGGGGAGGGACTCTTCGTTGCGGATGTAGGGATAGGACAAGGAGTAGTGGTTTTAAACTGAGAGTGTAGATTTCGATTAGCTATAAGGAAGAAATTCTTTACTCTGAGGAGTGTGACACACTGGAAGAGGTTGCCAAAAGAAGCTGTGGATTAAGACCAGGCGGGATGGGGCTTTGGGCAGCCTGGTCTAGCAGGAGGTGTCCCTGCCTGTGGCAGGGGGAGTGGAATAAGAGGATCTTTAAGGTCGCTTCCAACGCAAACCGTTCTGTGATTCTCTGCTCATGCTCTAAAAGGGAGCAGAGCAGAGACATGGAACTAATATGGATGTTGGTTAGGTGTTTCTGTTACACTCTTTGTTCCAGTATGCACCTGGAGAGAGTCTTGATGGTGTCAATCTGTTGTGCACACTTATGGTTTTGTGCCTCAAGGAACAGAGTCTGATGAGATCTTTGTCTCCAAAGAGCTTTTCTCCAAAAAAAAGAAAGCTCTGTTTGTGCCTTTTGCAAGGAATTGGCTTCTAGACAATGAGCTGGTGAATCCGGAGGAGGATACGGTAACTTGGCTTGGAAGCGACTGCAGCAGTTTCTGCTTGAACCTGCTGCTCAAAGCAGAGTCAGACGCAGTGTCTGAGGGCTTTATCCCGTGCCATCTCCAAGCCCTAGTAAAAGAAAAGGTGGTTCCTCGGATGCTCAGCTGAAAAGCATTACTTGCTGCTTTCTCTTTCACCAGGAAAATCTGCTGATTGACGAGGAACATAATCTGAAGCTGATAGACTTTGGGCTCTGTGCAAAGCCAAAGGTAAGAGTATCTGCTCGATCCAATACTATGTGCACCCAAGAAATGCATGTTTGACCACAGAATGCAATGCAGTGACTTGCCCAAACACCCTAAAGTAAAGCCATTGATGTGGTTGGGATGCAATTACTGCTTCCTTGGAAGGGACTGAACTGCGCAAGAGAACAGTTAACAGCTGTGGCTCTGAGCAGCCTGTTAAATCGTTTTCTCCATGTAGACTTGATATTTTTGTAATCTAAGGCAGAGATCATCTGGTATGTACAGCACCTTCTGTCTCATACAAGGGCCCGTAATATCAGGTTGGCATGCACTTTTCCTTCATGCGTTTTTCACCTGTGTATGTCTTTCTTCAAAAGAGTTTTGTGGAGATGGATATTGTGGATAGAACCAACAAGTTTATACAGGTGACAGATGCAGATCCTCTGTTTCTGTGTGTTTGTCCTGAATTGTTTCTTGATCCTAGAAAGAGTTTTGGGGAGCCTTTTCTGTTTGCCTTTTTAACATGCAAGGTGGGTGCTGGTGAGGATCAATGTAACAAGGAGACAGTTTTAGGGATTTCAAGGGAGTTATTCACCCTCAGATTGTTTTGTTTGACTCAATAGAGCAAGTTAGAGCATCATGCTGGTAATCAGGACCAACAGAGCATCAGTTCAGTGGAATAACATCATCTTATTGTGATCTGTGTAGAAGACAGTGCATGTGAAATAAGAACACGGTTTTGATAAGGAAGTGTTTTATCAGTGGGTCTTTGAAAAGTTATTGCATTAAATATTGTCATAAATAACCATCTAGCCTCATGCTCAGTAGCTCTTAGATCACTTCGTCACAGGTTTGTATCTCTTATCTGCACGTTTGCACAAGGAATTCATCTTAATAGATGAGGAGCTAAGGAAAAGAATGCATCTTGCCAAGGAACATAGATAAAGGAGCAGTTTGGGATCAGAACATGTTTGTGGTTTTAGATGTTTATGGTCTTAGACTATTTGCTTAGTAAATTCATAAGTTACAACAAAGCAAAACAAAAGGTGAACATAGATGCATTGCAGAAAAAGAGGGAGCCTCTGAGGCTTCTACTGTGTCATTACTAGATGACATAAAGCGTGTTAGAGCCAAGGCTTCAGTGTGATTATTCCGATTTCTGTGTTATTCTAGGGAGGCCTTGATTACCATCTGAACACCTGCTGTGGAAGCCCAGCGTATGCAGCGCCGGAGCTGATTCAGGGCAAAGCATATATTGGATCAGAGGTATGTAGCAGAGTTGTAGTGAGTGATTTTTTTTTTTTTTTAATTTTTTTTTTCTCCTCTGGTGCCCTGTTTGTAAAGGCAGTGAAGTTGGGGTATGCTCACTTGGTTTCCCTCCTGAATGCCCCTGGACAGCATTACTTTGGTACTTCCCACAGCTGCCTCAACTAGCCTTAGCAGTCGCAGACTCAAACAGTACTGTTGGCCACAGGTCAGGTAGCTGGCTGGTTTATCTCTGGTTAATCCTTACCTACCTCCACCAGTTGCTCCATCTTTTAGTGCCCTACAAAACAGTAACGTTCTTCTACTACAAAATCTTTGAAAGAGCACTGTCCTCTGTCAATTACTCCTCACTTGTCACAAATCTTTGTGCAATCTCAAAGTTTTAATGATTCGTCAGGCTTTTCTTTAGCTTGCAAGTTGTGCATGAAGACTTGGTCCCTTTTTGTTGCACAATGTTATAAAAAACAGAGCGCAGAAAATGTGAAGAGGTTTCTCAGCTTTGATTTCATACCTGAAACTCTGGGCCTACTTGCAATTTGCATTTGTTAATCTATCCAAAATGCTGTAATGCGAATCCCTTCAAGCTTCTTAAGTTGCTTTGCTATTAGGATGGAGTCAGTCTTTTGTTTGCTCTCACAGCTTTGCACTGCTGTTGTTGGCCTCTGATTCTTGCTTTTTTTTTTTTTTTTTTTTTTTTTTTTTTTTAACAAGATGAGCCTACTCTTCATGAAGTGTGTGGGGACTTTGCCAAGGGCGGACAATATGGTCTGTCATGAAGCCCTTTTGGATACATCTGCTTTGTGAACATCTACGCACTTTTATTTTTTAGGCAGATATTTGGAGCATGGGTGTACTGCTGTATGCTCTGCTGTGTGGCTTTCTCCCTTTTGATGATGACAACGTCATGGCAGTCTACAGGAGGATAATGGTAGGTATTGGTTGTGCTAGGAGGGACATGGCTGAGTGTTGCAAGAGGTTTGCTTTTCTGGTGACAGAACCTGCTAGGCTTTGCCTAAGGCAAAAAGGACTTTGTGCTGAATTTTGTCCCTTTCTGCTGCTCTTCCTAGCATTTTGTGCATTTCTTCCATTGGCCTTCCCGGTATACTAGCCTGGTGCAACTGGTGGATGATAGCAAGTGGAGTTTCAGAAGAAGAATTTTCTTGTCAATGGGCTGGATTTTTGGGGGGGGGGGATCCTTCATCTGCCTTCTCCATATGCTGTGACAGAACCATACATCTGCCATTGGATTTTCCAAGACTGACTGTTCTTGAATACCAGCTATTCTCCTCTCTGGGAAAGGCAGGATTCTGCCACCGCTATTGAGATTTCCTCCTCCAGAATGAGAATGCAAAGAGCTTTCTTCCATTCGATGCTTTTCCTGAAGGGGGCTGAAACCTAGGTGCAGCATTGTAGATGTCATCCAACAAGAGCTGAGCAGAGGGCTCAGCCCCCTGGTGTGTTGGTGCTGCTTCCTAATTCAGCCCACGGTAGTGTTGGGCATCTTTTCTGCCAGAAGACACCCCTGGCTTACATTCAGTGTGCTGTCTGTCAGCACTTCTCTGTCCAGAATGAGGAGGAAATGCAAGACCCCATAAGTTGCCTCCAAGAGAAAAGGCTGAATAGGTAGTAAGTAACAGCATTGAGTCGTTGGTTCTGTTTCCCTGTAAATTCCTCCCAGTACAGCTGAACAGCTGCTGTTTGGCATCCTGTAGACGCCTCCACAAACCACTTGCAGGCTGCCAGCAAATTTCTGTTCACAAAGCCTCCAGGAAGCCAGCGGAGTGTGGAACAGCTGTGTTGGCTGAGGTCTTTGGCTTCCTCTACCTGCTTCTCCTTCCCTGACCAAGAGATTGGTATGACTGGAAAGTAGAGCATCCTGAAGAGGATTCAAGGACTGTGGTGGTAGGAGGGGGGACAGGAGATCTTTTGGAGTCTTCAAGGATGGTTTCTGCAGAGTTGAGGCCTCCCTTCACGAGAACCAGGAGCTGCATTCTTTGGAGAGGTGAAACATTGGCCAGTGGAACTTGTTGAGGTGAACAGAGATGAGCAAGTTTTAAAACTCAGTCTGAGTGCAGTGGAAGAGGGAAGTCTCACAGGTGTTAAGATGCAGGCTTGCTATTTCTGCTCTGAATTTGTTTTAATTCTGTGTGGCTGCGAGATGAAAATTGCTTGAAATGGAGACACTCTAGATATGCTTGTGGAATTGAATTTCACAGGTTACAGATGCTGAAATGTACTGTAATCCCAGCTCAAGGCTGTTGGAAGGCTGCTGCTTGAATCTAAGCTCTACAATTACCTTAAAGGAGGCTCTAGCGAGATGGGGACGGGTGTCCCCAAGCACCGAGTGATAAGACAAGAGGAAATGGCCTCAAGTTGCTCTGGAGGAGGTTTGGCTTGGCTGTTAGGAAAAATTTCCTTATTGAAAGAGTTGAGAGGTATTGGAACAGGCAGCCCAGGGAAGTGGTTGAGTCACCACTCAGGAGGCATTCAAAAACCATGTAGATGAGGTGCTTGGTGACATGGTTTAATGGTGGGCTTGGCAGTGTGAGGTTAAAGGATGGACCAGCTGATCTTAGAGGTCTTTCCCAACCCACATGGTCCTGTGGTTGGAAGGAGGATCACAGTGCTTGCACACCTTGTTTCTTTCCCTGGAATGTTCCACATCTCTTCATTTGGGAATACTTACGTCAACCAAGTATGTGCTACAGCTCCTGCAAGAAGAAAATACTTGTGGAGTGATCTTATGGTTCTGGTAGCTCTTGCGAGGTATTTGCCTTCCAGCACTGTCCTCAGTCAAGGAGACGCTACTTGTTTTACCTTGTCTCCTGATCTGTAGTGATGTATTAAAAGCAAAATGGGTAATGGGGCTCCTTGGACCCACATGCAGATCATGTGGATTTGATGCCTTACTTTCCCAGTAAAGCTGCACTGTGATATCTGAAATCTGCCCCCCATCTGTTTCTAATGATATCACTAACCATGTTTGTGAGGATGGAACAGGAGGTGTGGTGAGAGCATCTGCAGGAGTAGCGTGCTCCCGATGGATGGACCGCATGGTGCAGACCCATATTGGAGCAGTTCCTGAAGAGCTGCTGCCTGTGGGCAGCCCCCGCAGGCTCAGTTTGGGAAGTACGGCATCCCCTGCAAGGGACCCCGTGGGGAGCAGGGACAGAGAGGGAGGTGTAGGGAGCAGCAGGGACAAAGCATTATGGACTGCCCTGTTCCCTTGCATTGCTCAGAGGGAGGAGGTTTTTAGTTCTCACTGCTCGAGTTTATTACCATTTGTCAATACATTACATTGATCTTCATTACGCCGAGTCTGTTTTCCTTCTAACGGTATGTGGTGAGTGATCTCCCTGTCCTTATCTCAACTCTCAAACATTTTTTGCATGTGGCTGTTCTTCCTTTTTGGCTGAAGAGAGATGTCACTATCACCTAAGTAATTTAATAATCCTGTTTGACCTAACTATTCAAGGTTCATTCTACACCCTTTATTTTTTTTTTCCACAGAGAGGAAAATATACTATTCCAAAGTGGCTCTCTCCTAGCAGTACGCTGCTGCTTAGCCAAATGCTACAGGTAAAGGTGCTGCTTCTACTCAGATAGGTCTACAAAATGCTATTTCATTGGGTCGGAATACTACATCTATGAAGTACTTAGAAAATATTTGGTGTTTGAAGATTAACTCTTATACGTCTGAATCCTTGAAGGAAAGGTTAGCCTTGTCTTCTGCAGAAATTTCTCATGCAAGAATGTAATAACAGTTCATGGATATAGAAATTAAAATGTAAATAATTAAATGAAGTCTTGAAGCACCTTGCATTTGGGTGTTCTATTGATACAGCACAATTAAGAAGTGTTTATAAATGAGACGTTTTATTAATGAAGCTGAGCATATGAAATATGCCTTCGGGCTACATCTAGGCAGTCTAGTCACTGCAGAATGTTACTGGAACATGTACTGTAACCATAGGTGCTGTAACTGTTATTCACAGCTCAGACATTTAACCTTCCTTTTGCTGGGGTTCTGAAACATTGTTGTTGGTTTCTATTCTATCCGTTCTAAGCACCCAGAAGGTCTGAATAAAAGATAAGTTTTTTCTTCTGTTCTCACAGATTTGTGTAACAACTTGATTCTTCCTGCCCACTAGGTGGACCCAAAGAAGCGGATTACAGTTAAGCATCTGTTAAGTCACCCGTGGCTCATGGAAGGTTATTCAGATGCTGTCCACTGGCAAAGTAAATATCCAGTAAGTACACTTGCCAAGAAGGTTCCTTGGCATTTCATGTAATCTTATTTGCTGTCAGAACGGTACTGGTTCTTTGCCATTTCTTTTGAGGAGGCATTTCAAGGTACGTTGTCATTGTATTCTGTCGTTGATGCTTAATTAGCAAAACAGCTAGCTTCTCATCAAAATGTGCAGAACTTCTGTATATGAGCAACCAGTTGATTCTCCAGGCTCCTTGGTCAATACTTTTGTTTAGGGGGTAAAAAACAAGTATTATTATTTTTCTTGGACATGCTTATGGTTTATCTTAATTCTAGTTCTCACTGAGAATTGCTCGTTTGGCCAACAAGCTGATCTCTTTGAAAGCATGTTTGTCCTCTCTGTACTTCAACTCTTTTGATGTGTGTGAGTTGAGGATAGTGTGGGGGCTTGGGGGAAATTCCAGCTGTCACCAAGTGCTGATGAGCAGCTGATGCTCATTTGCAGCCAATGCCTCCTGCTGGCCACTGGGTGCTGCTGTTTGTCTAGGTAAAGAACAGCTTGTTGCACGTGCGCTGTCAGTTTTAAGCAGCTCAGGCAAAGACGTGCATGCCTGATGGAGCTTTGCATATTTAAGAAGAGATAAAAGTGTAGCTTCCACTCAAGGGAAAAATCTTATCTGCAGACAGCCTTTCCTACGTGAATTCAGATCCTCTCACCAGGGAGGGCCGAGACGCTGAAGTTGCTGAAGTTGTGTGACTTTCTCCGTTTCCTCACGGCAACATTTAGCCATGATGCTAACTAAAATACAAAATCTGAAATGTTGGATAATGAGGGACTCCGCCTGCTGCATATCACAGCAGTGTCATGGTCAGATGTGTCTCGATGAGACAACCTGAAAGCTTCATGCTTGAATGTAGTCCATGTTCTTGCAGCAGGGACACCTTGACGAGGACTGCGTGACAGAGCTTTCCGTGTTTCACAACCAGAGCAGGGAGAGAATATTGGAATTAATATCAGAGGTAAGAACTACATGTTGTTAATTTGTTGTAATTAAGCATGCTAATACAGTAAGTAACCTGAGCGTATTGGCAGCCTCATGGTGCCTTATTCTCAGGCGTGAGTTTTGCTGTGCTTTTCCAACCTAGGGAATCCCCACAGAATTTCAGATCTGTCAGTACAGCTCTGAAGCTCAATTTTGCCTTTTGTTTTTCCTCCTTTCATTGTGTTTCCTAAACTTTATTGATATTTTCTACCATGCTAATATCCTTATGAATTTCTGAAAGGCAAAATAGACTCAACCTAAAGATGTCTGGATGAACAACCGATTTCTTGCACTGGCTGAACTCCATGCTTTGAAATGTTCTGATACCGGAGAGAAAACTTCCAGTGCATCGCTCAGCCAGGCTATAAAATAAGCGTGGGGGACTTGCTTTTCACAATCTTTGGAAGAAGTGAATCAGTTCCTGTCCCATTGGAATATAAATGACAAAAGCTGAGCTGACTACCTGTAGAGGAATTGTACCAAGGTGTTAGTGGTGATATTCTAACCTGGTAGAAGAGACTTACAACATGAGGTGGACTCTGGCTTTAACCTGATTCTAAAAATTGTCGCTTGAATTTGAATATTTTGAATAAGGGAGAGTAGTTCTCTCAATTAAGTTCATGGCATTTACGCAGTCCTTTACTGGAGGATTTCTAATGTGTTATAACTAATTCAAACTAGCAATACTGTGCTGCGAGCCTGTCAACAATTACACCTGTGGTACTCATTGTAGTCAAGCTGCTGAAAATCATACCAAACATTGACATTGCTTGGGGTTAGGCTGGAACATGACACAAAAAAAATGAGAGTCTGGTTGAAATACTAGGCAAATCTGAATTAACAGGGGCTTTGCCATTCACTTCTTTATGTGCAAAGATTCTTGTCTTGGCCTTAGTTTTCACTCTTAATGTTTTTACTATACAGTAAGTTTCAAGCACGAAGAAGTGTCTTCTATATTTCAGATGTGTTGTGTGAATCAGCTGAAGTTTGAAACTATCTGAATATGATCAAACTTAAGTGTTACACGTCAGGTGGAAAAAAAAAATCAGAAATGCAAAACTTTTCAGAAGACTGAGCTTACCGCCTACTCACAACTTTTCCAAAGACATCTAAATACCTTTTGTTTTCTAGTGGAATTACGACCAGTTGTCAGCAACATATCTCTTGCTTCAATCCAAGAAGGCTCGTGGCAAGCGCATTCGCTTACGGGTTCCGTTGCTAACAGAGCATGCTAGCACAACTCCCTCAGCAGGCCCAGAGGTAAGTTTCAGAGTTCAACAGGACAACATTCTGATAAAAATGTTTCCATGTCAACAAAGTTCTGCCTGGGAAAGCAGATTGATGCCCTAATCATCAGTAAGAGAGCATGTATGCATCCAGCTCACCTACGTGTTGGATGAAGGGAAGGTGGCAGACGTTGTCTTTCAGGATTTTATCAAGGACTTTGATTCTGTCCTTATGGCATCCTTCTGGTCCAGCTATGCTATGAAGAGGTGAACACTGCTCTGGGTGATGAAGAGGCTCAGTGGCAGAGCCGAGTGTTGTGGTGAATGGGCCTACTGGCTGGTAGACAGCCAGTGGTGTTCCCCGGGGCTCCATCCTAGGGCCAGTCCTGCTCAACATTTCTATCCATGACCTGGATGCAGGTGTGGAATGCATCCTTAGGGAGTTTGCTGATGATACTCAACCAGGAGTGCCTCTGACTCCCTGGAGGGAGGAGAGGTCTTGCAGAGGGATCAGGACAGATGGGAGCACTGGCATCAAGTTCAGCAAAGGGCAATGCCGGGTGCTGTGCTGGGATGGAGCAGTGCCGAGGTTGGGCACAGATGGGACAAGTGGCTGGGGAGCAGTTCAGCAGGAGGAGACCTGGGGATGCTGGTGGCAGCTGGCTCAATGTGAGCCAGTGGTGAGCCCTGGCAGCCAAGGGGACAAACCTGTGTTGGGGTGCATGAGACACAACCCGGTCAGCCCATCCAAAGGGGAGCATCCAGAGATGGGCAACAAAGCTGGTGAAAGGGCTGAAAGTCATGTACTGTGAGGAGAGGCTGAGGGCATTTGGGTTGTGTAGTTTGTAGAAAAGGAGACCAAGGGGTGACTGCATTGTTCTCTGCAGCTTCCCAAGGAGGGGAAGCACACAGGGAGGTGTTCACCTCTGACCACTGAGAACTAGTGGAAGGATGTGTGGGAACAGTACCTTGGAAGGTTCAGACTGGATGCCAGGAAAAGTTTCTTTGCCAAGCGGGTGGTCAAAGACTGGAACAGGCTTCATAGAGTTGGTCAATGCTCTGTGCCTGTCAGTGTTCAAGAGGCTTTTGGAGAATGACCTCGTTAATATGCTTCAACTTTTGCTTGGCCCTGAAGTGGTCAGGCAGTTGGAACTGATGATCCTTGAAGGCCCCTTTTGACTGAATTGTTCTGTTCTAAACAGTTCAGTCTCCTCATTGTTTGTTTTAGCCAGCTGGGCTGCTACTACAAAGTAGTACTACTGGAACAAGTAGTTGGGAGTACCACAGAGAAGCTCCCTTTAGCAGCTCCTGGAACCAAAATAGCCTATTCTTTGGCCTGTGTGAGTGTTCCAGATTGCCTTTTGTGATGGCAACCTTCTTACTTTTCTATTTGTCACTAGATATTTTTGTACCTTGTTAGTTTTTTGGCTTAGTAAGGAAAGTCTTCTGAAACATCCTGGCATGTCATCCAGGCAGCCTACTTTGCAATGACATGGATACTACATAAGTGGATGGTTAAAGGGCAGAAACTTGTTCCTTCTCAACTGATTCATTTTTGAACAGAATCTCTGAGAGGAGTCAGGTTATTTTGAGTAAAGGAAACATTGTTTTTTTGTTTTTGTTTTTTTCTTGAGGAATTTGAATCTTAAGTGCTTTTGTGTGTAGCTAGTTCTTAATTTTTGTTCCTGTGCTTTGGCAGAAAAGTGCACATAGGTTGCTTCAGAATTTGTCTGAAGTCGCTAAATTGCTTGCAATATCATATGTAGTATGCAGCTATCTGTAATGTCAGCAGTAATTATGCTTGACAAACTCAAAAGCATTCAGTAAAATTTCAGACTTAGTGTAAGCCATTCCTTCCTTGACCTCTGAACTTCTGTATAAAATTGTTAGCTAGCTAGCCGGACATGCTATTCCGTGTAAAGACAAGCTCTCAAAGTAAATACATTATTAGGCATCTAATTCACTTGAATGTAAATTATTTCAGTTCATTCATCCAGCTGCTCTGTAATACAGATGAGATTCCTAAGATTAGTAGTGCTGCATAACAGACTATGTATCATATGTGACTTCAGCAAAGTGGTATGAAACAAGTCCTTGGGAAAGGGGCTCCTGAAATCAAAAACTAGAAACTAAGGATACTGTGATATTGTTATTGAATGTGGTGTGAGACATGAAAGTGAGAAATCTTGACTGAAGTTGTGAATTGTATGATTTAGTAAATCATACTTTGTCTAGGTTTGCATGTAGGTGAAGTCTTCTGAATGCTGGTTCAAGTGTTACTGTGGATTCTGCAATCACTTGTTTTGGATGTGATGTGTTTACTGTTATCTGTCCCCCTTTCAACCTTTTGCTGCCTTCTTCTCTGGGGTTCTTTCCAGCTTATTATTTGGCTTTTGATCAAAAGAGCTCATGGTCCAAGTCTTGAAATCAAAGGCAGGTATTTCTGTGAGTTGCTACTCTTCTTGACACTGTTTGGGAAAGATGTGCTTTGAGGATAATTTCCTATCTGCTCTTGATATAATTGACAAATCAACTGACAAATCTACAATGGCAATATTAAGATCATATCATAGGCTGCTGGCATGGGAATTTCCATTAGCTGTTAGGAATTTATATAAAAAAAAAGGCAGTCTTAGATGTTACTGATTTTTCTTCTGATGAAATCTCACTTTTAATACTGCAATGAAATCTCAACCGAATCTTTCTTTTCAGTCTGAAAAAACTGTGACATATGGAGATGCACCAGACTCCAGTGAAATGCCGTATGCATTTGGATCCATGGAATTTTCTGATGCAGCTTCCCTGTTTGAAGAGTCTCCATTGGAAGAGTTTATTCTAAGTAGTCACGGAACAAAGCAGGTGTTTGAAGAACTAGTGTTAGTTCCTTAAAGAAAAAAACAAACAATTCTTAATGCAGAAATCTTTTTCTCATTGTACATAACGCTTATTAAATATTTCAACATTTAGTGTTCCATGGCCAAAAAAAGTTAGACTGAGTAAAGAAGTATGCTCAGCTAAATAATTAAAATGAGTAATATTTAACACGATTAATTTAATGAGAACCTTAACTTTGACCTTTAGTTTGCATAAAAACAGCATGTAAAGGAATAAGCAAATGAGTCAAACAGGATTTTAAAACACATTGGGAAATAAGGCATAGCTAATGAGATTTTGGAGCTAGGCTAGAGCTGGACAGGTCTTTGAAGGTACAGGAAGAAGTTCAGAATTGGCAAGAAAATCCACAGTGAAGCAGTTCAAATTTATATACTTAAACCAAATGCAAATTCATAGCTGTGTTTAGATTAGCTGGTGAGGAATAAATAATATTAAATATGGAAGCTGGAGAATTTAGATGATCAGATAAAAGTCAAATGACTCAATCTGTAAGAAATCAAGTCATTGTAGGAGGGAATTGGAGGTACTGAAGATTTTAACTGTTTTGCTCAATAGATGAGTAGTGTATAATACTTCTATAACCATTGTGTCTGACCTGCTTAGATTTTAGAATTTCCTTGTCAGTAACTTCCCTGAATGTGATCAGAATACAATCAAAAATGTTTTTTTTTTGTTACATCTCTGGCAGCATTCAAGGCATGATGCTCAACTGGATAATACGGAATTCACACTGTCAACTCCAGTGACAAGAAAAGTGGCATCAAAGAAGCATGCAAACAAAGAGAATGTTGATACAGAGTCAGTGTTAAAAAATGAAATGCCCTTTGCGCTTCCTGCTCCAAAGACTCCGCTCGGAAAGAGTCAGATTGAGAAGCAAGGACAAGGCATATCCATTCAAGTACCTGCCTGCAAAGGTATGTTGTGTGTAACAAATGAAAACCAAGAACATGTGTTGCTTAGGAATATTGTAAATTAAAATATGAACACAATATTTGTGTATCCAAAGCATCTGTTTCTGTAAGACTTTTGTTTTGTCACAGTATACAGTCACCAGCCTGTACATCAGACAATGCGCTGCAAGAGGTTTAATCATATGTCAGGGAGTCGTACTCTTATGTTAATTACAGAAGTCATTACTTCTTACAGTTTCATATGAATGTGCCTTTGAATGCACTTTGACTGGGAATCAACTGTTGTATTCCTAAAACTAGCATATGTTTCTGCTTTCCCATGAAGGTTTAGAAGATTTCTTCATTCTTTGTTTTTTGTTTGCTATTACCTTGAGTGAAAACAAAGCTATGCTTTTAGTTGTCTGGTTTTATCACTTTTAGCTTTTAAAAGAAATCTAACTGCTAGATTTCTCATGGTAGCCTATCTATTTTCACAGTACCTGTCCAGAGTGGCAGTGAAAGTACTTCTGTTAACAATGTGAAGTCTTACAGTTATGTGATGGACCACAGAATCCTGCGTACATTATGTCACCTCATCTAAGTTCCAAACACGCCTGTCCTCAGCCTTCATTCTTATAAAAACTGGCACATCCTGTATACCTCTTACTATTTCCTTCAACCATTGAAACTAAAGTTTTGGTGTTGATTCTGTAAATGTTAGCTCTGTCATTCAATACTAAGGGCTCCTTACAACAGGAGACTTTTCTGTTCTAGATAATAGGGGATATTGTTGAGAAACACTAGGTGATTGCAGGATGACTTACATTATAAACGGTATTGAACGTATCACTGTCCTTCCTTAAGTATTTAAGGAAGTATTTAACGGCTAGTAGTTCGTACAAGTTTGATTTTTGTCTTAAGATTATATGTGGTAACTTGTGATGTTTCTCTTCATGGTAAGTTTAAAAGGTTAAAGTAGGTACTTCTGAATTGAGAAATGCAGAAATATGGTTCTAGCTCATTTTAGTTAGACATTTCTGGGAGTTAAACTAAACTTTTTGTTTCACTGAATGTTCCTACATTCAGGATAGGTAGGAGTAATTCCTAGGGATAGCAAGTGGTGGAAGTAGCAGTTAGTAATTTTGAGATCATCATTGTCTGGGGCCAAATGCAGTTCTATAACACTGAAACTTGGAGCATTTAGATAGGGTTCAATTGTAACAGCTCTTATATGGACAGTTTCACTTACGGTTTACTTCTGCACATTTGAAACAACTCTGCCAGTGTTGATAGTGGAACTTTTTATACTATTATGTAGTTTGTATTATTAAACATGACTATATCATTCACACCTTTTCATGTAAAGGAAATGACTTGGTTTGGAATGCAACTGTTTGACATAGCAAATTCCTCAGTATTTATCATAGGACCAGTGGCAGAGCAAGAAAGCAGTTCTAATCCTCTTTCCTTCCAAACTCATAATACCGAACTGCATGGTCACTCGAAGACTTGACTTGTAGAGATCCAGGGAATTCAGCCTCAGTTTTACTTTGTGTAGCAGGGATAGTCTTGTTATATTAAAAATACATTTTATTACTCTGAAGATGCAGGCCAGAGATAGATAGGGGGCTGGTTTTAAAAAATAGCTCACTAATTACAAGAAATCCTGAATTAAGAAAAAATCCTGTTTCAAAAACATACCTGTTTTGGCTTGGATGTTTTCTTTCAGAGAGCCAGTTCACAACAGTCACCCCAATTAAGAAACCCAAAAATCCAGCAAATACAAACGAACTGACAGCAGCTGAGGTTCTTCCTGAGAGAAGGTAAATGTCCAGTTATTTGTATACATTTCTGATTTAGAGCAGTGCTACCTTAATCCATGAACAGCTTAGGAAGCCTTGTTTACAACAGCAAGCTGTATTCCCACTATCTGGGTTAAAACCTTCCTAAAACCTTGTTCTATATTCACTGGAAAATATTGAAGGCAGAAAAAAGTTTTAAAACTAGAAGTCAATTATATTCAGAATTCATTCCTGTTTTCTGTAATGTAAATTCTTTCTTGTTCCAGTTCCCTAGAGTGTGGTTTTCATATACATCTCTGAGTTTAAAGCTCAACTGACTTTTAAATAGAAACTCTCTTAATACACTACACTTGGTTTTATTTACTTCATTCTGTCAGCTCTGGTAATATTGTAATGATGTATTTGATATAGCTAGCTTCTGAATACTGACATAAAACAGCTAATTACATTGTTGTTTTTTTCTTTAGCAGGTGTCACTCAGTGGAACTAGATCTCAACGTAGCTCATGTGGATTGCAGCCAAAAGAAGAGAAAGGCCAAGATATTTGGAAGCCTTGAAAGAGGCCTAGATAAAGTGATCACAATGCTTACACCGAGCAAAAAGAAACGATCCACTAGAGATGAGCCAAGGAAACTTAAGGTATGGCTGCTGGGGAAATCTGATGTGGAAATAGAGGAGAGTTATTGAAAACATCCAGTACCTTTAGTACTGGCCTTGTGAAAACTTCTGTGGTCTGACTTGCCTGCACTCTACAGAAAAACTGCGGTTGCTCTTACTGCATTTCTGTTACTGTGATAATTGCCCCAGTTATTGCCAGGGGAGTCAGTGCTAGTCTGGGCTCAGGCAAGTTGCCAGCACATCAAGAGGGGGATTTGACCATTGCTTTTTGTGTGCCATATAATCAAATAAGAGGGAAACAGGATGGGTTTAAAGGGGAGCCCTAGCTGAAAATGTTTAATCACGTTTTTGTATAAAGCTATTGCTAGCTCTCCCTCTGGTGCCGTAAAGTGAGTTTTGATTATATCCCCTGCTAGTTTTTTGTATTCCTGGAGTGATATATATGGGAAGGTATTCCAGGAGAGTTGTTAGAATTCAGAAGAATCTGAGATTAATCTTAAAACCTAAAGAACTGCAGCCTGTAAAAGAATTTCTGACACTGTCAGCATAATTTTTGATTTTCAAAGTTTTGATGTCTCTTCATCCAAACCAGTTTATTACTACTAGTTCTTTAAACAACCTTAGAATAAGAAGTTCCTTTGCACAGAACACTTTAACATTAAATTAATAACTTCTACCTACCAAAGTTGATTCATAGGTTTGGTATTATTTTTTCTAGAATATACATGCATTGGCATAACACTAGACCTTTCCATGCAGTGAACAGTGCCATATAAATCACTTAAATGGAATTTATATTTGAACAGAAGTTGTCTCTTCAAAAGAGAAGTTCAAGACGTCACTTAGTGGACAAGTATATTAGGTGCAGCATTAAACCTTGAAATAAACAAAACTATAATCATAAACCTATGGGTAGTAAATAACCTTGTTTCCTTAAATGCTGTGATGCCTTAAGGCTAGAAAAGCCTCATGGAACCGTGTGTGTTACTTGACACCAGAAGCACCATCTTGGCTAAGCAATGAATGATAGACAATCTCCCAACTAAAGGGTGCTTTAAGCACAGTCCTCTGTCTGTCTTTTGTAATCCTGTCAAGCAATCACTTCCGGCTATATATAAGACTCTTTGCTGCCCTGGCCCATCACTGCTGCTTTGGATGTTATGCCGGATTAGAGATTGTGCATGCTTTGATATTAATTGTCCAGAAGTTCACCTGTAGTGTTTCTGCTGTTAACTACAGTGCCTTAATGATAATAGGGATTTGAAGCCTTCTTGTCAATATGGTTATATGTTCTGAAGCTTTCTGTATGAAAAGTTTCCATAATATCTTCAGTTTGGGGAGAAAGATGACTTTTCTTGACTTTTTTTAATGGGCTGACTACTTTTAGGCACACTATAATGTTACCACTACTCAGCTGATGAATCCAGACCAACTGTTGAATGAAATAATCGCCGTCCTTTCAAAGAAGCAAGTGGAGTATGTTAAAAAGGGGTAAGTGGAAACAAGGATGACTTCTGCATTTACACATCTAAATAGCCAGTACCCTAGTCCTTGATAAAGCAAAGTATTTAAATTTACATTCTTGGCCCCACTCTGTGAAATATGATGCTTTCTGAGAAAGTATAGAGAACATTAAATGTTTGTGTGATGAAAATTGCCCACACAATGCAAAATAATGTTACATGACATCTCATAGAGCTCTTTGACAAATATTAAACAGTAATGTTGAGGTGACACTTAGAAGCTGATGCGAGTTTTGTCTATTCTTTGTGAAATTTTAAATGTAAAAGGATGGTTATGACACAAGTTAGACACATTGGGAGGGTAATGTCGATACCTGTAACCCTTATTATTGGCAGTAAAAACATAAATATTTGGCCAAGAGATCAGTTTATTTTTAAAAGCTGCAAAGAATCCACACTTTGTGCAAGCTTATTTTAAATTTTAGGATTTGCTAATGAGATAAAGTACTCAGACTAGTGTCAATTCCTATTTTTGATCCAAAAATAAATGTCTATTTGCTAGTTTTCCAATGCATGAAATAAATGTCTTGCATCGCTCATTAATATGTATCTTCTGAAGTGCTTGAGTATTTAATTGTCCAGTATGTCAGAATATGCCTGGACCTCTGATGCTCAAGCTCAAAATGTGGGCAGGTACATAACTACAGAGAAGAGCCCCTCTCTAGTGTGGCGATTTTAAATTTCAGAATCAGTTTTTCCATTTCTCATACTAGCAAGAGTCGAGCTGTAGCCAGCCTCTCAGCAGTGGTCTCTGCAGAGAGGAAACTGGTCTCTAGGTAAAATGCAGGAACACCCCAGTGCCTTCCAGCTCTGTGCTCCATGAATCAGGGTCTGTGGCAGCAGTTCCCATGGCTGGGGTAGGCCTTTACTGTCATCTGTTTGTACTTGGGTACAAACGACAGCACTGTAGGACTGATGTATTCAAAACTCTCAGTTGACTTCACTATGGGTTGTTTTCTTAGTAATGTGAATACCAGTAGGGTAATTTCTGTAAAGCACTGTTACTCATTCAAAATCGTATTTCAAAACAAACATTAAACAATTAAATGATTTTATTTCTCCTTTGTTTTGTACAGTTATACGCTGAAATGCCAAACACAGTCAGATTTTGGCAAAGTAACTATGAAGTTTGAGTTAGAAGTATGTCAACTCAGTAAACCTGAAGTAGTTGGTATCAGGAGACAACGGCTTAAAGGTGATGCTTGGGTCTACAAGAGACTGATGGATGACATTTTATCTAGCTGCCAAGTGTGACTGGTTGATGCACATGCTGAGAAAGAAGCAGTTTTGAAAGAAGCAGGCTTTAATCATCATTCTAAAAAGATCTGTTTTGGAGAGTAATTATTGATCACATTCACAGCTGTACTTGAGAATCTGTCTTGTGTTTTTTAACCATCCCTCTTTGTATATATGTTTCCGTCATCTTTTCCCTTTATAAGAAACTTCTCAACTTTCGGTATTTTAACTCTTCTGAAATAAAAATTTAAACTGTCTTTACCCCAACCCTGCTTCCCCATTTTTCACATACGCAAATATAAAAGGTATTGGTGTTCATATACTGAAGCTTATTTTGGTATGATTTCAGTTATCATGTGCATGTGGTACAGAAATTCATTTGCATAATTCTTTTCTTGTCTCTGTTTAAGTAGGATTTATGGAGATCATTAACTAAGTCACAGCTGTGGTTCCCAGAGTTACAGTATATGCTCAGTGTCATACCAAATAGAACTGTCTTCAATAAATGTGAAGTCAAGAGGGCTAGGATTTAGAGTGCGATCCCATATAAAACATTACTCTAGCTCATTAGTAAGCCCCAGTGATGCTTAAAAAGTGTATGTACTTTCTGATGCTCTTGTGTTAAGTGGTCGTCGTTGTGTTAAGGGCAATGTAACACCTTTGAATTGTGTGAATGGAATCATTTGCAACTTACTGTTTAAAGACAGCTGGCAGTGATGTTAAGGGACTTGAAGGAGTGATGGGAGTCCTCCAGCCCCTCCTGCCCAGCTCTGCTCCCGTCCCTCTTAGAAATTGTATGTTTTACAAGCACTTGGTATGTCACATAGCAGTGTTTATCCTTTAGCCTGCATCAGCAACATGAGCAGCATGAGCAGCAACCACACCAGTGTAAATCCAAGTACTAGCAGTGAGAGGACAGTTTTGTTGAAGCCCTTCTATATACTATTTTCCAGTACTCTCTAGGCAAGCTGCTTTTTTTTTTTTTTTCTCCAGAGCTGAGTTATCATTTGTCTGCTTTTTAGGTAGAGAAAGGGTTTGGGAAGTGTTTACTGAATTTCAAGAAAAGGTAGAAATGTATCTGAGGGTGTGTGGGAGGAGAGAGCTCCTGTTCCTCTAAGTGTTTTTGGTCAAGAACCTTTCAGATGCAAAAGGATATAAGAAAAGGGAAACACCATGAATAAGGAAAATACAATGACACAAACTGGACCAGCAATTGCTAGGAAAGGCAACACTATGAGCCAAACCTCGTCAGTCATGGATGGATGTACGTACATGTGGAAGTATTTGTCTCAGTAAGGTTATCTGAGGACCTCAGCACAAGGGAAAATAGGGAAAAGGGGGAGTCAGAAACAAGAAATAGAGGGATGTAAATAGTGAATGTCGACAGGCTGTGCCCGTGTGTCTAAGGTACGTGCTTGTCTCCACTGCTGCCTGAACCTGCAGCTGTGTCCCCTGGCCCAGTCAGAGAAGCTGGGCTCCAGCAGACAGCCAGAACCATGCTGGGTGGCACTGGTCTGTGCCGGGCCAGAGCTGCTGGAGGAAGCGGCCGCGTGTTTAACATCCCTCACCAGTGCTAATATACAAATGTAGGTGGTGAAGCCCACCCAGTGAAAGAGGTCTTATCAGAGGTGTGCAACCAACACACGAATTGTGTTTGTGTTGATAAAAGCATACCTAACCTATTGTTCCAACAAATTAGTGTTAAAAGTTTCATATCAGCACTTAAATAATGTCTGTACCTGGCTACTCCAGCTGGAATATTGATTTTTCTATTTGATTTTTGGATGTTGAAATTTAAGCCTGCTAAATATCAGATGGAACTCAGCCAAAAATGCCAGCAGTGCATCCAAGCGCAGTAACTGGTCCGTATCTGGAGTACTGCAATACTGAACAAACTTTTTTGCTTGTTTTCTTGCTTTTTTTTTGAATACAAACTTTTCCCCAAGAATTTGGCTTCTGCATGGAACTTGATCTGAATTGCAGTAAGGATAGGAAAATAGAAGGGCTGATTGAATGATGCATATTGATAAAAGTCTAGTTAATGAACAGTGTGATATGTTTTAGATCACCAACCCCAACTGCAAAGCAAATTGGATGAAGAATTGAAATATTGGCTTGCTTTTACCTTCCGTGAGTTTATATTCAGAAATTAATACAGCATTATCCTCTTATCCTTAAATACCTGTACTGCCAGTAGTTAGGAGAAAGTTCTGCTGAAAATTGTGTGGTCCCTAAGAATGAGAAGACGGATGTTATGAAAGGACAAACAGTAATTAAGATGTCTTGTTCCTTCGTTCTTTATAAGCAAAAAACAACTGGGAGATAATTGATTCAAGTTGTCTTACAAGCTCTGGTGTGTGAAATAAGGTTCCTCTTCATAAGCTACAGCCTTTTTTTTTCTTCCTAATATTCCTTGCTATGAATGAATGACATCTGGTGATAAGAATCGGCAGAGAGGGCAAGAAGCAAGATTCTTTTCTGTTTATCTTATTTTGTTTTGAAAATAAACTAATACTTTGCTATTGGTATTTTTTAATCTTCTTTTTTTTTTTTTACCGAGAATGCTGGAATTCTATTTCAGCTGGTCCTTGGTGGGGTTCAGAAGGAGACAAAAATGAGGGTTAACCAAAAAATGAGCTGTGTGGGTAAAGAGGAGCATGGATGGTGTGCCAGGCTTACAGAAGCCCCCACAGGCAGGCACACGGGGCCAGGATGCATGTCTTGCTTCCCTGAGTTCTGACCACGTGTCTTGCAGCCTGCCAGGTTGTATATCTTCATACCTGTAAGTCAGTCTTGGAATCAGTTGGTATGCTGTGCCTAGGAAGCTATCCTTACTTCAGTCTCTTGGCTAGGAACCTCTTTTAGAGGTCAAACTTAATTTATGTTCGTTGCACACGAATGTGCTCATAGTGTTACCACTGAGCGTAAGTCTTATCTCTCTGTGATGCTACAATTTCTCCAAGTATATAAGAAACCTTGACTCCTATTTGTTTACCACTCAAAGGTGTAAATGTAAAGACATTAAACCCCTTTCTTAAAAATTCTAGCACACACATATATATATTTCATAGAAAATACCATTCTTATATTGCCTGCCTCTTTTCTTCAGAACTTCTCAAAATTGGGTGCTTTAACAGAGGCAGGCTGTGTGTGTGTAAAAGGAAGCTGACAAATAGAAATTATAACTAGCCTCTGTTAAGGCTGGGACAGAGTTGTGTGATTTCATCAGAGAAAATAAAATTTGGAGGAGAATGAAAAAACAAAATATGTTAACATACAGAAGCTAATGTAGTGACTGAGTCCAGAGAGTCAGAGTTGGTTGAACACACCACAAAGAAAAACAGCACAGACTTATTTTCCAGGCTTGGTCAGGGTAGAAGCTATTAGTCTAACTGCTTACATGTTGTTTAACTTAATTAAAGTTACTGTATTAACTAAGAGAATTCCTGTTCTGACATCTGTAATGTATGAAAATAGCAAAGTGTTGCACATACAAATAGGAATGCCATATGGGAAGCTTATCAAATATCAAAATGCAACCAAGTTTTGTTGGGAGAGACTGATAAAATGCTAGTTGCATCATTAGAACTTGTTGGTAACCACCAATCCCTAAAGATTTAGGCTCTGGGTGCTTGAGAGCTATAATAGAAAGGTGGCTTCAAAAAAGCTGTGCGTTTCCCGTCCCTAGAGCCTGTTGAAGATCCAGGAGGTATTTTTTGTGACCTCAAAATACTTGCAGACGTTCACAGATCCATTTTCTCACAAGTCCCACATGGAGTATTTCGCCTTCATCCAGGTTCACTCATGTGGGACTGCACATTGCTCATTTACAACCTACATCAAGCTGTTAAAACTTACTCACCATAGTACAAGAAACAATTCCTCACTAACCAGTCTCTTATTTAGTCCGATAGACACCGCTTACAGATCTGTAAGTAGGGATATTGCAAAGAACAATCAACTTATCCTGTATTTTCTAGGAGAAGATGAAGATTGTAGCGTTAGATAACACTATCATAGTCTTTGAACAATATGCAGCATAATTTATGTAATTCAAGTTAAAAAATAGATCAGGCAGATGTATTTATTTTTTGTCAGTCAGCTCTAACAAAATCACGTAGATTCAGACACCCTATCAACTGTTTCCTTGGCTTAGAATGAGGGCTGTGCTTCGTTAGAGAAAATCATTAGAGAAATCCACTGTCATTTCTGTTTTCATCGTATTAGGTTTTTGGCAGAGAATTTATTCAGTTTCTAATATATAGTTATTTATGTGCTACTAACTAGCTTTTTGCATTCCCCAGAGAAAGCTACATTAAAAGTCCTAATGTGACACCATATATTTTTACTAGACTAGAAAATAGTTACAATTTTAATTTAAATTGAAATGACTGTGTAATGGCTGGACAAATCATTCTCATATCCCTAGAGCTCTTAATTGCAATTCTCCATTGTATGTATGCATAAATTTTCTTTTCAAGTGCTCATTCTGAAATACTTACTAATTTTTTTTTGTGTGTTCTGTACTCATTTAATATTTTTTTTTATAGCTAACTACTTCATGATTAAACTTTAATGTTAAATATAAATGGTGGAAGCAATAAGCCTGTTCAAGTGTTGGGAAAATACAGTCTGTTTATATTTTTGGATGCCTTTAATTCAATGAACTTCTTTTTGTGGAAGGAGAGCAAAGAAAAACAGTATTGCTTAGAAATGCTTTACCCAACAACCCCCCAAAGACCAATCCTGTAATCTTTCTCTTGCATCATCCGTGTTCTGATTCAATTTGCAATATTGCTGGAGACCTGTCAGTAACTAATGATTGGCCGTTTATTGCTGCCCCTCTGCCAGAGGTTGCAGACCCTGCTTGCCCTGACAGTGCTCTGCTTTTGGGAGTGCCCCCCAGCATCCCTCAGGCAAGGTTAAATGGATTCCTACACCCATGGCTCGTTCAGTTTGCAGTGCTGATGGTGCTGGCGGCAGGTTGGCAAGGTCCACGTTAGCTGCCCTGTAGGCAGACGTGGGACTGTGCTAGTTCCAGCAGGGTCAGGGGAGAGCAGCCACGGGGCAACCTCATGCCAGGTGGGAGTTGGCACCCATCACAGCCTAGGATCTCAAAAGGAAGCTGTCTGCCCCTGTTTTCTGTAGGAATACCTCCATTTTCAAAGTTCACCTGAGACACCTGTGACAGCCTGTCCACCACGAAAGCTCTTGGGGTTTGAGGTTTTGTTGTTGATCAATGCCATGGCGATATTACACTCTGCCTT